TATATATATATATATGTCACTTATTTGATGATATGTTAAAAGGTGCTTTAAAGGTGCCCAATTGACACCCAAAAGATTAAGGAATTTGGTGAATTCAATCAAAGTTTAATATAGAGCAAACCTAGAATAAATGCTCTCAATTTTCGTACTGTATACTTTATGAGTAAAAGTAAGCCTGTTTGGCACAACTGCCTGCTTCTAATTTTCACTTTTGCTTAAAAGACACTAATACAAAACATGTTTGATTAGAGCTTTGTAGGTGTTTTTTATCTGTTGACCTGCTAAAACAATATTAGATTGCTTTAAAAGTACAAAAAATAACTTTCACGTATTTTCAATACTTTCAAAACACTTGAAATAATAAGTTCGGTCTCACACAGCATGCTAGCAGGCCCTAAATCTTCCACGACCTACCCCACACCAATCGTCTGCCAACCCCATGCCTATTACCAACTATCTTCGTGCCAAAGCCAACAATTATTCCATACAATCCACCATCACCTTCAGTCATGGTGCCACCACATTTTTCAAACATCAAAATGAATTGAGTTCCGTGATATTCAATAAATACAAAAAAAAACTATATTAAAAATATCATTCATGTTTTGTTTCATACTAAAACATAAACAAAATAAAATAAATAAACAAAAAAGGAATCTCAAATGGCAATTAAGAATAACAGAAAAAAAAATATCGTTGTTGTCATACAATGGATGAAACTACGTGCAAACCTAACATTTGAGCCTATCATTTTCCACATCAGTCTATCTTTAAAATATGTTATTGAAGTGGCAAATCAACATCATATTTATAGGCATTACTCTAGAAGCATGAAACCAAATTTCAAAGGCATATGTGATAATATAGATATAGGCGAAGCATGGATTGTAATGTGCCCTTTTTTAAGGATGACAAAACCTTAACTCCTAAGGCGGGGAAAGATCCCACCAAAGAATTGTAGGCCTTTTAAATAATCGAAGTGCCTTCACGACAACTTTAACTCATTTACTCCAACTTTACACTTAATTAATTATATCTTTGCCAAGAAGAAAAACAAATTATTCTGATCTTCTTCAATAATTCAAAGGTGTGGGATCACATTCATCCTTATTTACTCGTTTTCTTCTAGTACTAAGTTTTTTTTTTTTTTTTTACGAACCATTCATGTCCACTTTCTTTACATGTTAAGCATAATGCATTAAAATAGGGTGCTGAGTGCATCTTGTACATTTGGTTACGGAAGGGGGTAATGTATTGTAACTAGTGCATGACCTCTTGTCAATGCAAGAGCTGAGGGGGTTAATGCATCATCTTATCACTACATTGAGAAAATAATATCTGCAATATTGAAACTCATACATTTTATCCATTTCCAGCTACATGTCTCGTCCACTTTTGGGAAGCCCGCAAGCTTACAAAATGCAAATGCAAGCAGCTGCTAGGTTGTAGGTTGAATAGGTACTTATGGCTGGTTAGTTTTGAAATTGGTAGAAAAGAACTGAAGTGAGAGAATGTCGGCCGTTTTATTGTTCAACTTC